GTCAAAGGTTTTCGTGCGTTATGGTCACTTCGCCGTGCGTTCAAATCTTTTGACGAGGAAACTTTTCGAATTTTATATCCCACCTATGTAAGACCACACTTAGAGTACTGTATCCAAGCAGCTAGCCCGTGTCTGGTGAAGGATACTAACTCCCTTGAGCGTGTCCAGCGTGTGGGAACGAAATTAGTGAAGGGTCTTTCTAGACTCCCTTACGATGAGCGTTTAAAATGCCTAAATCTTTTCCCCTTGTCGTATTGTAGGACACGAAGTGACCTTATACTGGCATTTCGTATCTTTAATTATGATTTGGGTGTTAATATGTCGTATCTTTTTGCTCCCTCCAGCACTAATTATCTCCGCGGTCATAGCAAGAAGGTTCATAAACGAAGATCTAATAAACTTAAAGTGGGGTCCAGTTTTTCTCATCGAGTAGTCAATCATTGGAACGCCTTGTAGGGCCAGTGAAATGTCACTGAGCCCTAGCCAAACCATCTGGCAGTTGGATCACTGAATGTCGAACAGGTCGTCGCTCCCTGCCAAGGTCATGTACAACCAACGCGCATTAGTTAATCGTATGCCATGGACTGGCCCATGCGGCAGTGGTCTTACTTTCGCTTGTATTTACTTTAACTAATATATTTCGTTCCCACCAAGAGAAATCAAAAGACAGAGTCGAGGAGATCGGAAGAGTATATTTGGCGATGACCAATATATCGGAATTCTCTGATCTAATCTGGCTAGCGATTGCGGTTGATGTTGAGCACGGCGTTACCACACGTGATCTGGTGCGGATGCCTGACCGAGCGCCTTCAGCTAGATGAGTCCACTAAAACATATGGTCAGCATCCAATGTCGAAAACTTAGTGCTATTTATTTTGGGGATTTATTTACCGCTACAGATCACTCCCCCCCTAGTGGGGCAGTGACGACCCTAAGACGTGGCCAGCCAGAAGTTTAAACCCAACGAGTTTGTCGTTGGTAAACACTCTTCTGATAGCTTACTAAGTGTAGCAGCGTCTGGTCGTCTTTCCTTACTATATGGGACCGAGGTACAACATAGTAAAAAAGAAAAAGTTACAACGAAAATTTCGACTCCTCGTAAACTGCATCGTTCTTTTCCAGCCGTCCTGGAAAAGAAAAAAGAAATGTAAGTGCATGTCGAAATACACTCGTATGTGCGTAAAAACACAATGTCGGCGAAAAAATGGAAAATAAACTCAAGCACACGTAATAGCGTTAAAAAATAATTTTGTTTTTTTTGTTTTTTTTTTAAAATAAAAATATAAACATATAGGCATATTAAAATTGTTTTGTTTAAAAAAAATTATATATCGTAAAAAGAAAGATCGAGATAATATAAAATGTCGAGTAGTGCTTACGTGCAGTAGTCGTTTAAATGTTCTGGAAATCTTACTCTTCTTCCAGAACGCGTCGTTTTAGGTTTATTTTCAGATACATTCGGAGTATCATCGCTAGTGTTGGTTGTCGGTTGAGGAATTATGAGTGTAGGAGTCGTGTTGTGCGATTGTACCGAAGGAAATTCGACGTGAATAGGATTTCCTTCTAAATACGCTGCTTTTAAGCGATCGATGCTGATGCTATCGTTTGTTCCGTTCTTATCGACTATATAGTACTTAGATTCACGTTGAAGAACTTTGAAAGGTCCTTCGTACGCTGATTCGAATGGTCGTCGATGCGAGTCTCGACGAACGAAAACGTGTGTACTATATCGTAAGTCAGGTTGAACGAAAACATCAGTTGATTGAGGTCGAGTGGAAGCAGGTTTAACTGAACGCATTGCGTTTGTAAGCCTGTTCGTGTAGGAGGTTAGATCCATGTTCATTGAAGAGGACGAAGGATCCACGAATTCTCCTGGAAGTCGAAGTGTCGTTCCATAAACGAGTTGAGCCGCAGTGTATCCAATGTCAGCTTTCACTGCATTGCGGATACCTAGTAAGACGAGTGGAAGAGCGTCGGTCCACTGTGAAACGTTTGCAGCTGATAGTGAAGCTTTTAGTTGTCGGTGAAAACGTTCTACCAACCCGTTTGCTTGTGGGTGGTAGGCGGTCGTTCGGAAGCGAGTGCTTCCTAAAAGTGTGGTCAGACGACGGAAAAGTTCAGATTCAAACTGACGTCCGCGGTCTGTAGTGATGGTTGAAGGGCAGCCGAAGTTTGCTACCCATCGTTCGACGAAGGTGCGGGCCACTGTTTCAGCAGTGATGTCCTTGATAGGTACTGCTTCTGGCCATCGAGTGAAACGGTCTACGCAGGTTAAGAGGTAAGAGTATCCATTTGAATCTGGTAAAGGTCCTACCAAATCCAGATGAACATGGTCGAAACGAGCATCGGGAGTTTTAAACGAGCCTAAGGGACATTTATTGTGTCTGATAACCTTAGATTTTTGGCAGCTTACACAGGAGCGTGCCCACTCCCTCACGTCTTTATTCATGCCAGGCCAGCAAAACCGTTCTGCTATAAGCTTGATGGTTGCACGAACACCTGGATGAGAAAGTTTGTGCAATGTATTGAAGACATTGCGTCGATAATGTTTCGGCACGATTGGGCGATCCCTACCTGTAGATGTGTCACAAAGTAAGGTTTCCTTACCTGTTCCCATCTGTTTGATGCGTAGTTTAAGTGTTGTGGACGATAACTCGTGCTGAAGATCAGTGTCTTCTTTTTGAAGCTCGGCGAGTTTAAGAAGGTCGATTCCTTGGAAACTGTTCAAGGAAGTTATGCGAGATAAGGCGTCTGCAACTACATTGTTTGCTCCAGAAATATGTTGAATATCTGAAGTAAACTGCGAAATGTAGTCCAGTTGTCGAGACTCACGGGGAGAGTACTTGTCAGAAGGAGAGCTTAACGAGAAAGTGAGCGGTTTATGGTCCGTGAAAAGAGTGAATTCACGGCCTTCGATATAGTGTTGGAAATGCCGTACAGCACAATACATAGCTAGGAGTTCCCTACCGAATGTGCTGTACCTCGATTCGGTGTCTAGCAACCTTCTAGAGAAAAATGCCAAGGGTTGCCAGGAGTTGTTAACCCATTGTTGTAAGACTCCTCCGATTGCCGAGTCGGATGCGTCTACTGCGATACTAATGGGTGCTTCGGTGTCCTGATGTGCGAGCATTGTTGCTTTAGCGATCAGTTCCTTAACTGTGGAGAATGCTTTTCGTGCGGTGTCGTCCAAATTAATGGATTTCGCATTTCCACGAAGTTGGTCGGTCAGAGGTTTCATAAGTAATGCGCATTTCGGTATGAAACGTCTATAGAAACTTACCAGGCCGTTAAACGTGCGTAATTGCTTGACGGTGGTCGGTTCTGGGTAATCCAGAATGGCCGCCACTTTGGTTCTAAGGGGTCGGATACCTTGAGCATCGATAGTGTGTCCCAGAAAGTCTAATGAGTCGGTTCCGAATTGGCATTTCTGAACGTTTACAGTTATGCCATGTTTTTGTAATCGTTCGAAAACAAGATCCAGATGCTTGAGATGTGTTTCTCTGTCCGGACTTGCGATTAGACAGTCGTCAACATACGCGTGTACGAAGTTGAGACCTCGAAAAACGTCGTCTATGAATCTTTGGAATGTTTGAGCAGCGTTCCTTAGACCGAAAGGCATTCGCAAAAATTCATAGAGTCCGAAGGGAGTTATGATAGCCGTTTTCGGTATGTCGTCAGTAGCCATAGGGATTTGGTTATACGCTTTAACCAAGTCGATTTTCGAAAAGACAGTTGTACCTTTCAAGGTAGCTGTCAAATCGTGAATGTGAGGCAACGGGTAACGATCGGGAATGGTTTTCGCGTTCAATCGCCGATAGTCGCCAGTTGGACGCCAATCGTTGCTGTCCTTTTTAGGGACCATGTGCAACGGAGATGCATATGGGCTACTTGACGGTCGTATGATTCCTAAGTCTATCATATGGTCGAACTCGTTTTTCGCTAACCTCAGCTTTTCAGGAGCTAGTCGGCGTGCTTTAGAAATACAGGTGGTCCTGTAGTCGTGATGTGATGTGTAACGTTGCTGGTTACACACGGTAGTTTCGGTTGCGTTTGTTGTATCTCAGGATACTTGTCGAGTAGTGGTTGATAGAGTGGGTCTATCATATGCTTAACTGTGACTGGGGATACTCTGCAACCAGTAAAAGAAGTTACGCAAACGGACAAATTAGTGTTTCCGTCTACTAGCCTCCGTTTGCGAGTGTCGATGATCAGATTGTGGTGTTGTAGAAGGTCCATACCAATGATTGGCATAGAAACATCTGCAACAACGAAAGTCCAGTGGATGGGCTCACCAGTGTAGATCACCAACGTAGATGATCTGTGTCGAAAATGATTGGAGGCCTACTCGAGTTAGACGTGAATGGTGTGACAAACTAGCTAATGTCGAAGTCACACCTCATGGTCAGCACGTTGCGTGGACTACCCCATTAACGTATCAAGGTACCATAGATGATTTGAAGACTGTACAACACAGGGGACGTCGTTACAGAAATATATTAGTTAAAGTAAATACAAGCGAAATTAAGACCACTGCCGCATGGTCCAGTCCATGGCATACGATTAACTAATGCGCGTTGGTTGTACATGACCTTGGCAGGGAGCGACGACCTGTTCGACATTCAGTGATCCAACTGCCAGATGGTTTGGCTAGGGCTCAGTGACATTTCACTGGCCCTACAGCCTTACTCGAACAAGTGGTATCAGCCCATCAGTGAATACTTTCAAGGAGAAGCTGGACCTTCACTGGAAAGCAGTGTGTCAGGATTAATGCAGGTTCAACAACCTACTATCCTTATTACTGAAGTCTGAAGACTGAAGTTTAACTGCTCTACGTAAGCTGAACCTGCAGAACGATGGATGAAACTATTTTGTAATACGTTTTACTTTGTGTACACGACCCGTTTCGGTTTTACGCCTGTGATTTGTTGTACGATCACTCCTGCTTCCAAGTATTTCGATTTCTAGGAACAAAACAGGTTTTATCTTCTTGGTCTTTGAGACACAAGGTCACTTCGTCAGGTAGATTCGAAATAGCCCGCGTGATGGATTTGACGATTTTGTCTGCTCCAGATGAATGCCTGCCTTGTGATCCTGAGTGTTTACTAATATTTGTGAGTCTTCTGAAGCCATTTAATAATAGCTGCAGTGCTACATCAGGTTAAAAGGGGCACGTATGAACATAAAGATCAAGCTACCTGATCAGTTTACTGTTGAGAGCTTCCCAGTTCTCAGTCATGATAATAAGGATTATCACAGAATCCCAATTGTCCTAACGTATTTGAGGAAAGAAGTGGGTTTCTTGTCTTTTTACTCTAAATGTTCCCGCTTTCCTTATGTAGTCTAGATTGATAGTTATCGAATGTCGTATTAGCTCGGTAGCCTGATACTGTTCATTTTGTTCACTCCGAAGTTTCAAATCAAACTAAAAACAAATGTATGCAAGGGTTGTTACTGTTTATTGAGGTCTGAAGTGTTGTGTAGATCATCAACTATTGTTTGAAGCTCATTTGGTAGTGTAGAGTTACCATATTGTCGAAATTGTCAGTCATCTGCAACATAGTATCAGGCAAATTTATGAATCGGTTAAAGTTGCGATACCTCAATAGGACGAGGTGGACATTAGTTTTACAGAAGCGGTTACTCAAATGATAGTAATATTTAAAAATAAAAGATTTCATATTAGAATATGATACATGGAGCAAAGACTAGTTGACCCAACATATTTGTAAGGACATATCATTGGACTGGCTAGTGAAAATCACAATTCAAGCTCACCATGAAGTTGACCACCTAAATCATATGTCTAAACGTTTTGCATTACTCTTTTGTTTATTTCTATCATGGGTTTATTCATGTGAATAACTTTTTTCCACTCAGTCAACTATAGATTTGTCCGTTACACTAAGTTATAAGTACAGAATCAGAGTATAACCTACTTCACTATACTGCGTATGTTAGACTCAGTCAATATCAGTTTTAAGTGTCTGTAATGTCTCCATATTAACAATTTTATATTGTCAGTAAGTTACCGGTTGCGAAAAAGTCAGCCAATCTGCAATAAAATATGCCTACTGCTTTTGACAATTTATTCAACTTTTTATCTTGTTCACCCCTTTTTTCAAAGAGTGAAATATTGTGTAGTACACAGTCTAGTATTACTGGTGATCAGCAGTAATGAAAGGGATAAAATGCCGATATAAACTGATGAGATTTTATTGAAAGTTTCCTGAAACTAGCCATCCACTTCCCTAATATACTAGGTAAGATGGTTTGAGTTTGAACTGTATATATAAGTCCAAACTACCTGCTCAGGGTTTGGACTGTAATTATGATCAGTAGTTAATAAATTTAAATAACATAACGAAATCAACTTTGATGTCATTGATCCATTTACTTTGTCTCTCTGTTGATCTTGATTTTCAGTTATTTTGTACACTATTCCGCGAATATATTTCTTAATCTCGAATCATATTCTCCGTATCTAGCTTCTCTTATTACTACTGACAACATCACTATCCTAATACTCATATAGTTAATTACATCTTCCTATAGTGATGTGGTTTAGCAACTTTAGTCATCCATTCATACACAGCCTAAAACCTGGCACAAATAGGGATTGATCCAAACTGACACGCTGCATGAAGAAAGCTAGATAAAACCGTCAAGACAAATCCCAGGATAAAAGAAGTACCAAAAGCATCAGCAGTGATAAAAAAGTTTGGATGTACATAGAGTTATTTGAGGAAATAAGTACAAATATGTTATAAACTACGAAGACTCAGTCACTGTTATTGCTTAGTATTCTTCAGAAACTTCACTCGACATTTCGCCAAGTCAGAACATGCTTGAATATGAATATAAATCTTATTCTAAATAAAGTTCTGAATAGGAGCAGGAATCAATAAGAAAAATGTTAGCGTTCTCTGAGTATCCGACAGCGTTTGTTGTCTACGAAATGGCCAATCCGCGTGCTTCAACACAATCGTACATGGAACAAGCTTGTATCAAATCTATATGTCGTTAACAAAAAGAAATATATAAGACGTATTTAGAACTCAGGGTAGAAAGGAACTTGAAAAATAAATGAATCTGCAATACACTATTAATAATGTTCATCCGTGTCACTCAACTTCTCTAACTATTGGTTAAACTAAACGGAAAACTATGAGTATGCGATCGAGGCGACCAATTTCTCTTGATCAATTTTTTATTGCTTATTTGTTTTGTTATTTATCGTCCTACCTAATACATTTTTATGTATTCGACTTTATACTATACGTTTATGTATAAGGCTCAGTCGATACTACTACCGACATTTAATACCTAATTCCAAGCAAGTATTGTTAAATGTAAACAGATTTTTCAGTGTCACTGATAATCAATTTTTACTATCCAATAAATAATTTATAAAACGAGATTAAACCTGTAAACTTACTACCGACAATTGATAAATTCTACTCAAAATGTTTCAATATTAAAATATTCACAGTTATCATCAGTGTGAAGTTGTGAAGATTGTTAAGTTTTTGATTAAGATCATTAATAAATAAATGTCAGACTCCTATTGAAAACCTGGAAGCACTAGACGGCCGTTTCGTCGTAGTAAGGGACTCCTCAGCGGTGCGCATCCACAAAACCGCAAGCGTGATTCAAACCCAGGACCTTCAGTTTCGCGCGCGGACGCCCAATCTCTAGACCACTGAACCGGTCGGCGTCCGACGGTGTTGATGTTCAATTTCAAACAATCCATGATATTGCGTGGCCATTTTCCATTGTTGAGGTAAATGCTTGACGCGGGTTAGCTCCACTGATCACAACTTCTCACCAGAACCCCGTGAATTACCTCACGAAGCCAGTCACTACTGAGCACACTGTAATTATCGGTGTGGGGTCGTGTAGGTTGTTATTGTTTGAAACTAACAACGGTACAATATAATAATTCTTACATTTCATTTAATCAATAAAAATGAATGTAAATTTTTTGTGTCAATTTGTTTCGTTAACAGAATTATGGCTTAGAATATGACTTATCTGACATTGAGGGTGTTCAGTTGTGTGCTTTAATTTCAACTATAGAACGTCGTTTAGCTCCTGCTATTAATTGGTTCCTATGGGGTGACGATTTTGTTTATACTAATTTCACTAGAAAAATGTATTTTGGATCAATTGGACTTATTAAACAGTTATATATTCCTTATATCTGGCGTAACAAAAAGTTAAATAAGGCAAAGTCTTCTCAGTTAGTTATTTGTCTTAAGAATATGTCCGATTCAGAAATAGGCGAGTATGTAAGTTCTTCTTTTGACGTTGGTTTAACTTTTCAATTTTCATATTTTGAGTTATTGGCAAATTAGGTTCATTATTTATAATAAGTTGTTTATGTAAATATTGTCATTTACTTAGTAAGAGGTTTTTTAAACAACAATGTGATCTTCACTTTTCTAGTAAATTTCAACAGTAGATTGTATTCGCTGTCACCACTCATCTGTGACATTTTGTTAGTAACATCATATGGAAACGGCATATACTGATTGATTGGTCACGTTATCTTGCAGTCGTTTTTCTAAGTTGATTTTATCGTGTCCAAACGAATATTACGGAATCATTTCTAACATATTTGTGATTCATATATACTTAACGATATAATGTGAGAAAGTGAAATTCGGCTTGTGATAAATCTGTTACTAGATCTATGTAGATATATGTGATATCAAAGTCATTAACGTTGGTGTACATTACAACAGTACGTTTACAACTTCTCGTGGCCTCGCCGGCGTAGGTATAGCATTGATTCCTAGGGCAGAACTAGCTTTTTAGACTGGATTTCAGGAGACAGTCGTTTGTGCGCTGTCCGACTAAACGAAACAGTAAGGACTCGGGAAGATAGGGACACTTGTCGATGCCTTTACGTCGTCTCTGCCTATTCTCCCACTAACTGCAGCTCAGATGATGTAAGAGATGAGTTTTACAGAAAGCCTTCCGACCTCCAAAAAGCTAGGCGCTCTGATGTAATAATAGTGGCTGGTGACTTTAATGCTCAAGTAGGTAAACTAAGCGAAAGGTAAAGACATCTGGATGGATCTTATAGCGTCGTGGCTCAAATAACAGATAATGGCGACCGTCTGTTGCAGCTATGCTCAGATAACCGCTTCTTTCTCGCAAATGCTAACTTTAAACATAAAGAAAAACACCTTTTAACATGTCGACCCCCTAATTCGTCCCAACGTTGGACCCAAATAGATCACATCGCTATCAGCCACCGATGGAGGGGCTCGGTGGAAGACTCGCTCATTCTGGAGCACATGCTTAGATTCAGATCATGCTCTAGTGCGAGCGCGTATGTGTCTGCGTCTTACTGGACGTAGGAAAGACGCTGCAAGCAAACCCCTTAGGGTCCTACTTAATGATAGGCAAGCTAAGAATATATTCAGGAACTAGAAAAACAGTTAGGCAGCCATGAAACTGATGCCCACCCCGAGGGAGCGTGGAAGGATATCCAGAAAGCTGTGGAAACAGCAGTGATATCTGCTAGTAAGGTAAGCCATAGGGTTAGGGAAGAACATTGGATCTCAACAGCATCTACCCCACTGATAGATGCTCGAAAACTCATTCCATCTGGCTCTGAACATAACGAAGAGTGGAGTCAGCTTAAGCGCAAGCTGACAAGAAGTCTACGCAATGATCGCGAACAGTGGTGGGTAGCGAAAGGAAGAGAGATGGAAAAGGCAACGGCCATAGGTAACAGTTGCCAACTGATCAGACTTGGTAAGGAAACCGGTATTAGGAACTCAACTGTTAGCGAAACTATCTCAGAAAAAGATGGACATATTATACATTCTCAATTGAGGAGATTTGATCGATGGGCAGAACACTCTAGGGATCAGTTCAACTGGCCCTCGACCACACTTCGGTTTCCCACGACCTCCAGTCAACCTGAATGGCAAGTTAATGTAAGTCCTTCGACTCTACGAAATTGAAAGGGAATTTGAAGCAAAAGAGAGCAGCAGGTCCTGACAGGTTTGCCCCTGAGGATTTTAAGGATAATGGTCTAGTATTAGCAGTGAGATTAACTGAGTTCTTAGGTAGAATTTGGAAACTGTACGTAATCCCATCTGACTGGTCTCAATCACTGATTGTGCCAGTCTATAAGAAAGGACAAAAGTCCTCTTGTGACAATCACAGAGGAATCAGTTTGACTAATATAGTGTCTAAAATATTAGCTTCAATAATACTTCGACGCCTAACTAAAGCTCGTGAAGAGCAGATTAGAGAAAACCAGGTTGGTTTTCGACCTGGACGTGGTTGTATAGATCAGATATTCACACTACGTCAGGTTCTAGAACACAGACACACATTCAGACGCCCCACAATGGTAGTATTTCTCGACCTTAAGGCAGCATTCGACTCTGTTGATCGTGAGGTTCTATGGGAATGTTTGTCACTGAAAGGAGTACCAAAGAAGTACATTGACTTTGTAAAGGCTCTCTACTCGAACACAACTGGTCGAGTGATAACTTATGGCGAACTGTCATCAGAATTGATTACTTCAAGTGGTGTTCGTCAGAGCTGTCCACTCTCTCCATTCTTGTTTAACTTTGTCGTTGACGTGCTTTTGGAGACGACACTTTTCTCATCTAAATTTCCAGGGGTTGAACTTCTACCGGGAGATTTACTTGCTGACTCAGAATATGCCGATGACATAGTTCTATGTGGTGAAAACGCTGACAAACTGCAGAGTCTTCTGACCACTCTAAGCAACAATGCAAGCATGTTCGGGATGCGATTCTCCCACTCGAAATGCAATATGTTGCTTCAGGATTGGGTTACATCGACACCCGAACTAGTGATAGGGAGTGAAGTAGTTGAGTGTGTCGACCGCTTCACTTATCTTGGAAGTCTCATCAGCCCTTGTGGTTTAGTGTGTGACGAAATCTCAGCACGCATACAGAAGGCTCGACTAGCTTTTGCCAACTTGCGTCATTTATGGCGTAGGCGATATATCCATTTATCAACCAAAGGACGTGTTTACTGCGCAGCAGCTCGTTCCGTCCTACTTTATGGCAGTAAACATGGCCGGTAAGAGTAGAGGATATTCGTAGGTTACTAGTATTTGATCATAGGTGTCTTCGAAACATTGCTCGTATATCCTGGGAACACCGAGTAAATAATTCAATTGTTAGGAAACGGGTGCTAGATAAGGATGGCAAATCAATTGATGAAGTAGTGAAACTTCATCAGTTGAGATGGCTGAGACACGTGTTACGTATGCCCAACGACCGACTGCCTCGACGTGCGATGTTCAATGATCTAGGAGTAGATTGGAAGAAAGGTAGTGGCGGCCATACCAAGACATGACACAAGTCCATGAAGTCACTGACGAGTGGACTGAGCCATGTTGGTAGGTGTAAACTACCTGACTGGGGACCGCGAGTCAATAGCAACCGATGGTATTATTTTTTTATTTTTTATTTGAACACATAAATATTGGTACAAGAGGGCACCAAATATATATGCGCCACACAAAACAATGAGAATTTAAAGAGAAAGAAATAAAAAAAGGTAAAGGGCGTAAAATAACAATAACGAACAGTGTAAGATAGTGTAATAATAATGGTGGGAACGATAAGGTACAATCAGAAGAAATCTTTCAGTTAAGGAAGAAGCAACCACTTTTTACGAAGAATGTAAAATATGGTTACAACAGCATCGCCACTGGCTTCTATTCTGAGCCATATCTGATAACGTCTCTAGACACTGTGTTGCACCATCTCTCGTACCCCAACCAGGGAGTCGTGAAGGACCAACACAGGCCAGCCCTTGAAGCTTTCTTTCATACCACAACACCATGTCACACACTGACCACCTCTCCGCTTTTTCCAACCAGTCACAGAGTCGGCAAATAATGCACGACGTGGAATTCTCTGGGATGATATTCGTAGAACATGTCCAGGCCACCGAAGTCGGTGTTTCAACATGGTGACACTAATTGGATTATCATATCTGTGCCCGAACACACGATGCCGAACCTCTGCATTACTAAGATGATTTTGCCACTGCATGTTAGCAATCCTTCGGAGATAACGATGACCAAACACAGGGAGTCGTCTAACGTCCTCAATTCGGAGAGGCCAGGTTTTACAAGCATAAAGCAAAACTGTTCTCATCGACCTTTTACAGCCAGACTAACATCACGAAGGCGCCAAAGATGGGACAGATTGGCATAAGGCGCTCTGGCTTTCACAATATCTGCATTGATCTCATCACTCACGCCACCACCAGCATTTATGCAGCTACCCAGATACACGAACTTCTCGACTACGTCTATCTGCTCCCAATCCAAAGTGAGTACAAGATTAGAATCCTGCCAGTCTTGTAGAAGTACCTTGCACTTCGAAGGTGCAAAGCACATACCGTACCTACGGATATTGATTGCCAACTGATTAAGTGCGGATTGCATGCCTTGGGCATTATCTCACAATAAGACAATATCATCCGCATACTCATGGTCGAGAAGTCTTTCTCCAGACAACAGATCCACACCGCCATTACTTAAATCCATCAGAGCTGTTTCCAGAATGTCATCGATGGCAAAGTTGAAGAGGAATAGTGAGATTGGGTAACCCTGTCTAACCCTAGTGCTTGAATGGAACAATGGAGAGAGGTGGTTGTATGCCGTTACTCTGCCTGAGGTGTTTTTAGGGCCTCTTCAAGATGTTAATGAATTTCTCAGACATACCCTTCTTCAATAGACAATCCCAGAGAATAATCCTGTCCAAGGAAACAAAGGCAGCCCTGATGTCAAGAAACACTACGATTGTTGGCCTGTGATAAGTATGGCGGTGTTCTAACATTTGGCGGAGGGTGAAGATATGATCAATACATCCTCTACCAGGATGAAAACCAGCCTGCTCCTCACGAGTCAATCTTTCTCGGGTTTTGAACAACCTACGAAGTATGACGGAAGCCAATAGCTTGAACGCAATCGGAAGTAGACTTATCCCTCGATAGTTGTTACAGGAACGATGTGAACCCTTTTTAAAGATGTGGACAACTATCGACTCATTCCAACCGATGGTTAGAGACCCTAAATGACATGGCTCAAAATCGTTTGCAGTGGCGCAAGTGCATCCACTCTTGTGTTCTCCTAAATTCTAATATTCTGAATTCTTCAGCTCCCATTCTTTTTTTCTCTTTCAAATTTATTTCACTGGATTATACTCATTGAATAACATCTTCAAACCCTAATCTTTCTGATTACTGTTTATATTCTTACCACCTCTACCATTACGGGATTTGAATCGACAACTGCATGTTTGTGCTAATGTGGTGTGGCAACTGGAACTGATGTACGTGCGTACGATGTTCTACGCTGTTACTAACTGAACAGTTATTTGGTTTAACTGTTTCGATTTACTATTACTGTGTCGTAGGTTCGAATGTAATCCAGTTTATTTTAGTAATTTTCACATTTTTCGTCATGAATGTAGATCGTAGGCTAATCACATAGATTCGTATCTATCACTTGAGTCTCAAGTTAAGATACATTTCTCTTGTCTTCTAATTGTAGTTATATTCACTGGCCAAACTGTGCATTACATCACTTGCTTACATTTTGGGTGAAAATACATATTTTATCGGCAATCGGTAAGTTGATAATTCGAAGAAATTGTCCCAGTCATTACATTTTATTTGTAAATCTGCTTTTGGAGTGAATTGAAAGCTAGGGGCAACCAAACTTGACATCCGTCCATGAAGTCATTGATTGTTGACCTTAGTTATTTAGGATGTTGCAGGACACCTTGTTGGGGTCCGTGTGATTATTATCGTAATCAATGTTTAGAGACTTCGAATGACATGGCTCAAAATAATTTGCGATGCCGCAGGCATATACATTCTTTGTCTTCCCTCAAATCCTGAACTCTTGAATTCCTTATAACGCTTTGTGTTCTTATTTCAATAATTTATATTTTCGTGAGTCCTATTCTCGATACCGAGTCTTTTCATCTACCACTGATAATGTTACTACCTCTACTATTCTGAGATTTGGCTTAATAATTTCATCTCTCTATGGTAATGGGATGTGGCAACCTGAATTAATACACATATACCAGGTTCTACGTTGTGATTTATTGACCATGTAGTACTCACATAATCCTCCAAGTGATACAATGTGACTTATTATTTCTTCGTAAAACCCTCCATTCCAGCTATCTGAATAGACATATTACTTACCTGGGAGATATACTTGGGAAGATGCTTTATGTCGCAAATTAAAAGTATCTTGTATATGGGCCCGCTTTCAAAACGAGAAGTAAACGAAGTCTACTGTATTAAAAGCAGCAGAGGTCTGGTAGTTTCATGCTGTTTGAATAAAGCTACCCTCACGATCCACAAATAGGCTAGGTAATTGCATTGACGTTTGTGGTCCACCGACGAAATTGACGTAAACATACACTGGGGATTCACGTTCTGGCGAAGCCTTCGAGAAAAACCCTATCAAACCGTCCAACTTACCTTCCTAGGAGATGATTTGCGTTTCTTTCAAGATAATACAACATCATTGATCCAATAATAACAAGCAAAGTTATGACTTGTGTATTTAACGATGATGTTAGGGATCCGTCAAATTGGTAGCTAATTGAGTGAACAAGAGATGTAGTATAAAGATTTGTTCATTTTGAGATCAATGCTGTATCACCATTGTAAACCTGGAAGCATTAGATGGCCGTCTTATCCTATTATGGAACTCATTTTGTATATATATATATATATATATATATATATATATATATATATATATATATATATATATATATATATATAGACTTCAATTTATTTTTGTCATTATTCACAATGTTTAGGGTTTAATTTGATTCGTACGATCATTGTTATTGACAACTATAAATTGCCTTTTAAGCTTGACCTTGGTTTGCGTGTCACATCGATTGTCGATTTCATAATGAACAACTCCATATACCGCATCTCGTGCTCATTCAATCAGCTGCCACATTGACGGTTCCCTAAGTTCGTCGTTATATACAATTACAGGTCAAACCATTGCTCGTTGTCGGATTACTCATCTCGTAATAATAACATTACGAAGAAGAGTTTCCGATGTTCTTCAAACGGCTGTTCCCGGTACAAACATGCTACAGCATTTTCGGACGAAGATTACTGGCGATTTGTTTGATTGTCAAATAACTCAGTTTTCTGTTACCAGATCTCGGATTTACTACAGTGATCTACCATAAAGATTTATGTTATTACTTCAGTAAATCATATGACCAGCATTTATGGTGAGACTTTCGGCAATCGAACTATGTCACATTTCCAAGCCGATGTCAAGTTCATCAAGGGAAACTGTGGTTTCATAGTAAATGGCTTATATAAAAGGGAAATCAACACTTTGATATCGATCTTGAAGGTATAACTAAATTCTAAACGGATAACATCAAATTAAAGATATGCAAAGAAAAATCTAACTTGGTACTCGAACATCTTAAACTGGTTGCATTTTGTTTTATCCATCTGAAGATAACAACTTTCAATATGATTTTTAAAATCAAAAATATTATTAGGTAACAGATTCTTTTTAGGGTTGTACAGTATTTAATTATGAAAATTAATCATCATGATAGTCATTTTATTGGAAGTTGTCGATAATGATCTTTTGGTCAAATGAACTCGAGTAATAATTTGTGGACTCTTCTACTCCAAGCCTGGTTTACTTTTATAAACGTGTTTAGCATTCAATATATTTGTTCAGTTATGTTTAACTCATTGTAAACTGGGCATATTTACTCTGAATGTCTATTTGTGTAAAGATAAATAAACAGTCCTCTGTTTTAATATATACGTTAGATGTTGTTCTATTGTCCCGTTTAATCATATTAACGCTGATATTTGTTTTCTCTCTTTCCTATACGCTGATACCTTTTCGTGTATATTTGCCTGCACTTATCCACATAATTAAAGACCAACTGCAGTCGACGCTTATGTGTTTGCATTTATGTGGCCCTTATTAATGTATGAATCACAGCATGGTGATTCTAATTGGTGGGATATCGACTACAACTCATCATCGTTATCATCCACTTGTTTACAATCAGGTTCACATCATTTAATCACACATCTATTACAATGTCCCAATCTAATTAGATTTTTTAAGAATATCTCGTCGAAATACTTTCAGAAACATACAAAATGTTTTAGAAAAGGTATGATCTATATCCCTTTTTGATAAATTTAAATCATACACTAAGATAGATGAAAGTTCTCAGTGTTTATGTGATACATTTTGTACAATCCATATCAAATAATCTGATGAAAAGTTACCTGGTCAAATTAAAAGGTAATTGGGAATAAAGATGAAGATAATCATTAAAGTGCTCAATATGAAAATCACGCTGGATAATGAACCAGTATTAATAGGGTGTGTTCTTGACGAGTATACGGGAGATCAGATTGTTTGAAATGTATTGCTCAAAGATATTACATTACTCTGATAAAACCTTCATCTTCTCATTGCATTGGCCAAGTATTCATCCCATTGTTTTTGCTTGTTAATTTTCCAATATCAGTTATGATTTGATACCATTTTATATGATGAAATGCCTTGAAAGGTAACTGAATCTATGTGTTATGACTATATAATACATCAGTTTAGAATAAATTGAAATAACAGATTATTTGTTCACAGGAATGATCTTCACCAATACAACTAAATATATTTTAATAGAACGTAAGGCATCCTCCATTTAGTCATTAAATAAAATAGAAATGTTTCAGTTAACACAATTCATTGTTAAGAAGTAGCTGAAGTAATGTTCATTTTTGGTCTACGGTTATTTTTCAATTACGAGCAATTAAGAGTCTTCTAATACACACGAGAATAGTGAGATCTCGTTACACAGGATGTATGACATGTCTGGCGTGCAACACTTCCTTGCATGAGATTTCAGAATATCTTTATATTACTAACAGAAGTTATCGTCGAATTGGAACAACATTCTATATACATGATATCACTCAATGATATTGGAACACAACAAACTTAGCGAACTAAAGGTGGTAAAGGCGTGCGTCATCAAAAAAGTATGGATAAGAAAAATGTTATGAAGATTTTCCTTTAAATTAACACTTAATCATAAAATGTACATATCCTGAAATCTTTTTATCAATGAACTATATAGGTGAACAAGGATAGTTTGTGACAAGAGATACAGTTTGAATAAGAATGCCATCATTGAAAAGCTTTTAGTTAACAGAAATTCTTCCATGTTTTGGAGAATGTGAAGGAAAACTGTGGCAGAATAGTCTTTGACTCCTTTCTTATCTATATCTATTAATGTATCAATGCATGAAGTTTTACAATCTTTAGGAACTCAGTCCGGTAATCGTCACGGATTGATAAATGATTTTTAATTCGTTTACAAGGTACAGATTCGTCTACTTCGCTTTGAATAATATTCTGATCGTTAGGGTTAATGAAACTACCATGATTGACCAAATCAGAGTAGGTAGAACGGATTTCGAACCTGAGACAGTGACTGAAAACCAAAAACCTTTGTCGCTCAATTGTTAATATTTAATTGAAGAATGTATATGTACTCATTAGATTAAAATGTCAGTATCTAACATGCTTTGAATTAATCTACTCATGCTTTACTCATCATTTTATCACCATACAGAAAAATCTTCAGTTATCGACAAGTCAGTTGTATCTCGTCCGATTCGTGATTGTATTCTCTGGGGTACTGGAGTAGTTGGTTTATTTCTAACTTATGCTTATTATTCAAATAATATGTGGATTTTACAAAGGTTCCACAAATCTCGATCAACCTAAGTGCTATCTACAGTCGCTACTGTTAATTATTGTTTTATAGTCCTTGAATTGTGTGTATTATCTCGCATTTCTCTCTCCGAATATCCTTCCTATTCTCGTAAATCTTTTTGAACCCATTGTCAATTCACACAATTTTCTACCCTCCCTTTTTGAAAATCTCGATTCTGTATGGTTTTACAACTTTCGGATTGCATATGTGAATATTACTATTTCCAGTACCTTTTTTGTTCCTATGTCATCCTGGCTGTTCTCTTTGTAATAGTGTTAATACAAAGAAGTTCGTCTATACATTGTTATCTGAAATGATGGTGATGTGTTCTCTGAACTATTTAGTTTAATTACTGAGAAGAATTAGGCTCTAAAGATGTCCAGATTAAAAATTAATGAAAGCTCTAATTCAGATAACACATTAAATTGTTGTCTTTGACTGATTGTAATGCATTTCTTAAAAGCTTCCTGTCTATCATTATCTTATGCTTGTTTTTATCACAAAACATTCATTGTTACTTCTTTTCTCAATGCCAGGGATAATCATTAGCAATAGTAAAAATGTATCAGAGATGAAAAGAATGTATGGTAGTTTTTCTATTACTTTAGTGCACTTTTGTAAATATAGATCTTTATAATTTTTAGAACACTTGTTTAATCTTAATTTCCTGGGTTGATATTGTGGTATAGCATTGTAGGCCGATGCACACGTTTGTTAACTGCTTGAACGTTGATTATAACTGACCGTTTAATCAGTGTATTTTGTCAAGTAAATTGGCTGAAAGCTTGTTAAGGCATCAGGTATTTCCAGTAGTTGTGGTTCATTCATGAAGATTAGTTAAAAACAGTGAGAAAAGCGAAAATCATATTTATTGCCAAAAGACTTAATTTCAATTTTATCAAGAAAGTAATTTATGCAACTTGACTATACGATGGATAAATATTTGAGGGGATCTGTCCATGGTTCGGAGCAGCCCCCAAATGCCCTGGTACGGTCGAAAGTGAGGAGAGTCCGCTCTACCTCTCGAAACGCTCTCACATGACCACGCCTATATAGCCTCTGCCAGGGAAGTCCTACTCAACGCCTTCTCCTTTTGGGAGTGTTTTCGAAATTGAGAGAACGAAAAGTGAATGTCCGGTGCTTTAACCGGGTCGGTGGACACGGAGAGGAGTGGAAAAACCGTGATTCCAATCCTGAAGGAATAAATGGCGTATGAACCAATTGTTGGTCACCGGCTACCATGGGACTGCATCTCCTTACGACGCTCCAATGCCTTGTGGATCAAAGCTTTAAGTCAAAGGCTCCGGATGCGGCTCCTTAAGAAAACCACCTGCTTCTGTTTGGGCACCCGGGCAGTATCACAGCTCTCACACAAATCAAATGAAATTTGTGTGGCTCATATGTATGTGGTGCCCTCTTGTACCAATAGTCACGTGTTCAAATAAATAATAGTCACCTGGTTTCTGCTAATTTGCGTTAACTATGATATAGACAGTGGGTCAACCGGCCTTTCAATGATCACGTATGCTGCTCATCAGTCTACTCTGTATTATTCTATGATTATGAAAAATAACCTAGTGAAGTAAAAGACTAGTGATCAATCCTAAGGTTAAAATTTGTGTTCGGTTCTTTACCAACTAATTTTAGTCCCCTAATATCCCAACGTAGTGCACATGGCGTCGAGCCACTTAGAGTAGTGACCGCATTTAAACTTAATCGATGAGGTTCATCGACACGAAAGGATTAGATAAGCATGAAATCTATCATCACTCAGTCCAATCGGGAGTCAGTGGTCATAACTCTGACTGTAGATCTGAGTAATGCGGGTTCGAATCTCACGTGGATCAGTTTCCTGAAACACCAGGTACGCTGTTCTGACGAGTGCCAGCCACCAAGTTGCATAGTTTCATAGTTCTCTGCGTGCCATCCAATAAACATTGACTAATTGAATCCTTATTGTGGAAACAAGTCAAACGTCAATTACATTGAGGAACTAGATATTTATATATAGTTTTGTATATACGTAAATAATGGGCAAGCATAATTCAGTATTGTCGTACAAAATGACGAGGAGAGAATTGCATTAGTACCAAAGTTATTTTCTGTGTACATGTGTAATGTATATATAACAAAGGAATTGTAATTAAGGAAAACAGACGTAAAATGTCACTTTGGTGATGTTTAAAAGCAAACCACTGAATGCAGTTTGCCGTAGGAGATATGTGCACGATATTGATTTTATAGATTCTATGCATTAAAAAATGTACAAGGTGTGAAGATGAGTTTCAATGAAAGAAATTGTGGAAACGGTAAGTGTGAATTGAGTACGTCGTGTGTGTGTGTATGTGTTACCGAAATTGAAAATTCAACTGAACTCATATAAATACGAATAAACTGGACAGAAGTGTAGAGAAGCAAAGAAGAGTATATATAGATATATATATAGACATGTATAACGCGAAAATTGGTAGCTCAGTTGAATGCAACCATCTATCATACATACTATTTGAAATGAATGGATCAATTGCAAAGAATATTCAAAGCTTCGTAACTAACCTAACTAGTTTAGAGAAGACAACATCATCGAAAAGGAGTACGTTTGAAGCGACAAGTACTGGGCTCGAGTCCCAGAGTGAACATTTATTATGAGATGTAGGTACATCCAACCGATGAGTCTCAATAGGACAAAACGTACGTCCTGCATTCCACTGCTAGTCACTATTCATCTTTGCTTATAATATTTGTGAATGAAGGCAATATCAAGGTAGTCCATACAGGATGCACGCACTTACATCAGTTCGAGTTGCCACACCATATTAGCACAAACATGCAGTTGTCGATTCAAATTCCGTAGTGGTAGAGATAGTAAGAGTATAAGCAGTAATCCGAAAAATCAGGGCTCGAAAATGTTATTCAAAGAGTATAATACAGTGAAATAAATTTGGAAAGAAAAAAAGGTACATGAAGAATACAGAAGATTAGAATTTGGGAGAACACAAAGAGTGGATGCATCTCCGTCATCGCAAACGATTTTGAGCCATGTCATTTAGGGTCTATAACCATCGGTTGCTATCATCTCACGGTCCCCAACCAGGTAGTCTACACTACCAACACGACTCAGTCCACTTGTCAGTGACTTCATTTATTTCTGCCTTGCCCCCTAGCGTTCTTCCAACCTACACCATGAAACATCTCACGTTGGAGCAGTCGCTGTTTGGGCATACGTAACACGTGTCTCAGCCATCTAAACTGATGAAGTTTCACTACTTCATCAATTGATTTGCCATCCTTATCTAGCACCCGTTTCCTAACAATTGAATTACTCGGTGTTCCCAGGATATACGAGCAATGTTTCGAAGACACCTATGATTGAATACTAGTAACCTACGAATATCCTCTACTCTTACCGGCCATGTTTTACTGCCATAAAGTAGGACGGAACGAGCTGCTGCGCAGTAAACACGTCCTTTGGTTGATAGACGGACATCTCGCCTACGCCATAAATGACGCAAGTTGGCAAAAGCTAAACGAGCTTTCTGAATCCGTGCAGACATTTCATCAGACACCAACCCGTTAGGGTTATCTACTCATCTTTTACATTATTCATTTCGTTCAATGTTAAAGTCATCTGAAAAAAAACATTCTACTGAAATACATAAAATCACATATAACTTCTCATTTCTGCAGCAATTTGGAAGGCTCTCCCGGTGTCCCACATTGTACGAACATTCCATGTACCTAAATAAATGGTCGCTCTGGTTGTCAGAAGGGGCATCGGCCTCGTAACTTCCGAAGGAATTCGGCTTTCATCATGAGGCGTCATAGTTCTTCTAAATGAAGACCTTCTGACTCCCAGGGCAGAGTTTAAAAGATTTGAATAGTTTTTTCTGGTCAGCGTTTTTTCTAGCGAGTTAGTTTTCTACGGGATGGGGACGCTAACCCCATGCCCAACCCTCCTCCTTTATCCGGGCTTGGGACCGGCAGTAGCCCCCGGAGGGACTCCAGGCGGAGTTAAATTTATATTTGCTGATTATTAATTAAACTTCATTTATCCTGTTAATAATCCGTTACAATTAGTCTTATATTTTATCTTATACTTATTTTGTCTGTAATTTTTTTAGCCTGATGTAGACGCTCTTTTGAGTACAATTAAACCGCCTGCTACTGATCGTTGTATTGATTCTACATGTCTTTATTGTTAGTAATGTCAATCAGTTGAGTAAATCGCCTAGTAGTAGTACTCTTAGTATTAGTACTACTACTAATCAAAAGCTTCTTCATAAATCTAGTCTTATTTCACCAAGTGATTCAATTGGAGCAAATATTTGAAGATTTTTGTAATCTAATTATTGTACATTGAAATATTGTAAAGAGTTTTGTTGTATATAATCTAATAATAATACTATTTATGCTCTTATTCAGTTTCTGATGTAGTTTTCAGATATAAATTTAAAATAGTGAGAAGAAATCATATTGTTTTGTTACAGCCCATCATGTTCGATCCTACTACCGATACACACACTACTTATAAGTTTGACCAACTGCCAGTAAGAGTGAGAAAACTATTATATGTCTAGAAAGCTTTGGTTAGCAATTCGAATTACGTGCGCTCAAATCCATGAGTCTGTGTATATTTGGGTGAAACATGGATCTAAAAGCTTAGACTTTGACTAGGGGCGTAATCAACTACCTTCAATAGTGTGTCTCGTTTGTAAACTCTGCGGTTATCAGTATTTGTTCGTAAATTGACTAACTATTTGCAGAGAAGGGGAGAGCTATGAACTTTTTAGGTGAGAATCATAGGGATAATAAAATTATTGACTATAAGGTCTAAAGTGGTTTGTTTCTGTAATTTTTGTATATTTTATTACTTTCTACTCGTGAATCATATTTCTGTTGTCGGTTTTCATGGCATCCTGTTTATACGATTTTTTAAAATGTAATAACTTAATTCGACATATTTTTGTTCTGTATGAGTTTAGTATACTCGTTCTGTCTAGTTGTTCGATTGTGGCAATAAGTGTTCTGGAATAGAACATTAATTTTTCGGTTCATAAATACTTTTCATATGTTTAAATTTAGAAATACACAGTTAGCTGGTTATTCAATTCTTAGACGTCTGTTGATAAGAAATAAATCTCTTGAAATAGTATGTTCTATACATCCACTTGTTCATGAGTTCGTGTATCGGGGATGGTTTTTTTAAGATGTGTTCATTGCGTGATTCTCCCTCATCATCCTAAAAGAGTTATGAAAATGGTAAAGATATTTCAGGAAGTAACAAGGGTACCGTAGTTTTACGATGATAATTTACATATTTTCTACACACTTTTTAAAACACGTTGGAAACATTGTAGAAGGTAAAAGTTGGTCAATCATGTTTATGAGTATTTTGTACTCATCATATTTAGTTTGAATATAACAAGGAAATCTTTTTAATTCAATCCAGTAATGAAACAAAGATTTATATATATCCCCTTTAACTACACTTTTAGCGGTATCAGTATTATCTCACTGTTTATAATGAAGCGAATGCAACAGTTAAAGCTGATCATATAAAATGATTGTATGTTCATCACTTTTACAATCGTAGCAACTACTTCAAGCGGTTATATAATAGACTTCGTAATCGTTTTAAAATAATTT